GTACCCCTCTCTATTTCCAAGCTGATTTCTGTTTCCCTTGATCTAAAATCAATGCTTTTTATTTCAAATTCCATTGGTGAAAAATAAATGTCATCACATTGTCAGACCTTGTTAAAACTTGGCCAGAAAACTAATTACAATTTGAGCTTTTCATTGCACTTTAAACTTGTTCTGTAATGAACTTTGTTCTTAGGTGTTCTCTTCCAACCCTTGGGCAGTGAAAAATTCATTCTGACCATCATGTTGATTATATGTTGATTTCATTTTCTTTACTTGCAGTTTGCAATTACCACTGTCATGACAAGTGCGAGAGGATGGTAAAGATCAGTTTTACTTTGTTCTCATGTTCTAGTGCACAGGAAGTAAATTAGGTGCAGTAGAGGGACAGTCCTTGAACTTGCTCCCACAACTGCAACTAACTTCAACTTCTGTAGGGTAACTTTGGAGGTGCAAAGGCCAGACAAGCTGGCTGGGCCTGTCAATGAGCCAGCAGTAGACAGAGTTTTCTTCATTTCTACTGCATGCACTGGATGTGAAATTATTAGAAGTAGTCTACTGCTGGTTTGCCAGGTATTCATTTATAGACCTAGCCTCAGTAGTTCAAAGGTTGGGTAGCACTATCTACTGGATAAGTCACTATCCAGTGCATAGCGTTGTCTGTGTTGTCAAGATTTATATCACTGGATTTATTTACATGTATCCAGAGGATAGCGTTATCAGCACTTTCATCAACTGGGGCCAGGGCAAAAAGGCACACAGTGGTTTACCTGCAGCAGAATACAAGGGTGGAGAGTAGGACTTGAACCATTTTACTGTCAGATCTCTGAAAGCCTGATGTCTCGTATACAGTAGTGCTTTCATTTTAATGAGTGGGAGGGTGCAAGTGCCCTAGAATTTGTAGAATAATATGTTTGCTGTATCAGACAAGTTTACAAGTTAGAAGAGAACTGAAGCCTGTCATCAACGTTTCACTCACAGTGTCCCTCTTCCCCTGCCCCAGTTGTATAATTCTATGGATTGTTGACAACGCATGAGATAACTGAAATGACTGGATATTGGATAAGTCCTTTTCAGTGTTTATGGGCTGAGATGCAGTCAA